AATGACAAGAAACAAGGGAAAAGGAAAAATGAAAAACGAAGAAGAAAAAAGAAGCACGAGCACAGAACACCACGAACACAACCGAACATCTCTGCAAAATGGTTTGCAAATCGCCATGTGGTGGGGTGCGGGGGTCACCCCCCCCCCCACCATCACTTTGCAAGAAAACGGTCAAAGAACGACGAAGATTCTTAGCACAATAATAGGGGGTCGCCCCAAAAATTGACGTCATGGTAGCCTACAAGCTGGACCACTTTCATCACTCTCTTTCTTCTTCTTCTTCCTTTTTCTTGCAAATGATAGGGGGGCGACGCCCCCCCTGCCCCCCCCCCCTCGTGGCGCCGCCCCTGCAACACACGTACATTGAATCCAATTGGTACATGAAAATCACGTGGAGCAGCGTGAACAAATTGACGCGTTGTTTCACGTGGTTATCATGGTCCTATTGAATTAATAGGAAACAGAGATCGACATATTTATTATTGAGCATATTCGACATATAATTTATGAAGAACGCATGTTTGTTGAATCGACGCGTATCAGGCGTATATATCACGTTACGATGTAGATGGAGCTCTTGTATGTTGAACAGTTGGTAAATCCGTACAAATACTTTACATGACGTATTCGATATTACCGCTTACCGAACGTGTAAAATAGTGTACAGATTTAAGACAGATCAACTGCACTGCAGAGAACTACGCCCTGCACTCTTTTGCGAAATCATGCTCGACAGGAAACGTGCACATGGCAAACGCTGCACGGGCACGGTCCAAACACTCTCGGCATCGCTCGTTCGATCCTCTGTGCCTATTCCCACTTAGCTGGGACGCGTGCGTGATTTAACTCTAGTCAACTGCCCGACGGGTTTCCAACCCACGGGTATCGTCGCGGACATTTCGAGCACGTTCGCACGAACTTATTCTTATCTCCCATAAGATGCGTCGTCCCGTAGTTGCACACGTTCGCCTCATCGCTCGAGCACGGCTCGGGCCGCGTGCGGTCGCACGCCCACGGCGTCGTTGCGTTGCGCATCATCATCTCGAGCTTGGCCGGATTTCGGATCCAAGCGATCATTTCGGATACGGTCAGCAGCCACACGTCGTCCTTCGTCGCCAGCTCGTCGAGAAACTCTTCCATGGCGGCGAGCCGCGCATCGGCGTACAGACCCGTGAACCATCTGCTACTCAGCGACAGCATCAGCGGCGCGCGGTTACTCGCGTAGTGGCGCTCGAAGTTGTGCTTCAGCACGCGAATGAGACCCGTCTTCGTGCGCGGCATGCTGCAACCGTCCAGGGTCGCGCACGGCAACCCATCGTCGCCTTCGAGAAACACGAGCGGCACCTCCCAGAGCCCCGGAAAGCGCTTCGTCGGACACGGCGACCGTATGCAGCGGTGACCGCTCGGAATGTCGAGCGTGAACGGCCACAGCGGCGGGTTCGACTCGGCGACGGGCATCGACGAGTCATAGAGGAAGCGGTTGTTGTGCAGCATCTGGAACTGCGTGTTGCCGCCGACCTGTAGGAAGGGAGCGCGCATGCCCCGCACGTCCATGAAGTTGACGTCGCCGAGCTTGTTCAGCATGATTCGTTCTTCGGCGATCTCCTGCTCCCACTCTTTGTACGACGCTTTCCGCCACCACGACTCCGGGAAACGTTTGCTGAAAAAGCACGTTGTTGTAAAGGTGGGATGAATGGCGGCGACTAGCGTAGATTGATAAGCAATCACAACGATCAGCGACGAATTACATCATAAGTAAATAATACATGTATTATTTACGCCTGGTTACATTAACATGTACTAAGAGCTATCAGACAATTGTTTTTTTTCTATGGTATTACTGCTTACAGGAGTGTATAATATAGTCTATATCTATATTAGTAGTCTATATATTAGTCTTATATAGATATATCTTCTGCTCCCATTCCTTGTACGACGCCTTCCGCCACCACGACTCCGGGAAACGTTTGCCGAAGAAGCACGTTGTTGTTGTAAAGGTGGGATGAGGAAGCCCGACTCGCGTAGATAGATAAACAATAACAATGAGCAGTAATAGCATGGGAAGAAACACCAATTGCCTGATAGCTCTTAATAGATGTTAATGTAACCAAGCGTAAATAATACATGTATTTACTTATGATTCAGTGAGACGTCATTAGAATGTATGACATTATAATTATACGTTTGCTGAAGCACGTTATTGCAAAGGCGAGATGAATAGCGGCTAGCGTAGCTCGATAAGTAATAACAATGATCAGCAGGAGTGTATAATATATAGACTATAGTCAATATTAGAAGTCTATGTTAGTCTTGTATAAGTATAGTCTATAATTATTATACACTCCTGTGTGTAATAACACGGGGAAAACAATTGCCTGATAGCTCTTAATAGATGTTATGTAACCAGGCGTAAATCCTACATGTATTATTTTCTTATGATGTCATTCGTCGTGGTGGATAATTGTTTAGTGGGAACATTATTAGCTTAAATAGCATTATATTGTTCAGCATCGAGATATATTCAGCCTGTTCTGCTAGCATCTATGACAAATACGACATACGCATATACGCTCTCCTATAACACTATTTGCCATAGGAAGATTCTTCCTATGACAAATATTGTTATATGTGTTGTGCGTATCATAAGAGTTTAGGAGCGCTATTATGAACGCAAGCAGTAAATTTCCGCTGTAAAGCGGAACGAAGTTGACTGGCCAATATTTATCATAGGAAGAATCTTCCTATGACAAATAGTGTCATAGGAGAGCGTATATATACGTATATGCGTATGTCGTATTTGTCATAGATGCTAGCAGAACATGTTGATATATTGATGATTGACATCTGCGGACTATACGGGATAATCGTACGTCCCGTAGTAATATATCTGGCACCCAAACGTTTTATAAATGCATATATTAAATGGAATTTGTTCTAAAATTTATTTCCTACATCTAAATATTACGGATCAGTTGAACTCAACTGAATCAGAACTATAAAACGTCTTTACGCGTATCCAGCGCACAGCGGATCCAGGTGTGTTGAATACATATGTATCAGGCACGTCATTATTTAAACTATAAAGAGCTATTATACGTTTACAATATGTATAGGTAATTTACGGATTAGACACAGCCACCTCTGCATAGCCAGTTATCTAAAGGAATAGTCAAAGATTTAGCATGTATTCAGGTCGTACCAGCCCACATGGGCGAACCGCTATTCCAAACATTCAGTGGTCAGTAATAAAATTTGTAGAAAAGAGGTTAATTGATGTGAGAGTTGGTCGATTTTCTGTGTTAGTTCAGTTCAACGTTAATATGTATTTGATTAGCTTTAGTACTATACTAGCCCGCGTACAGTTGCCGCAGGGCTATAGAACATTCTATTACGAATGCTAGGGACCAACCCGCTGACTGGCGCTGCTGCAGAGCAGCCAAAAATGGCCGTTTGAAGTTCACAAATCGATTGTTCGTTCACAAGAAATACCTCAAGTACATATATGTAGTACTTGATACGACAACGACCCCTTCAGCGTTACTAAGTTGGTCCCGAGCATCCGTAATAGAAGATCCTATAGCTCTGCGGCAACTGCACGCGGGCTATAGTTACTAGAGCTAGTATTTGATTAACCTGTGTCGACGGTCTCTGAACACACCATGCAGTTTAATAGCACCCTTACTTGTAATAAGAAATAACTCGATGCCCCGAAGAGGAAGCGATATAGCTTAATTGTAAACCTTTTTGCTGGCGTTTATCTGGATAAATTTGATTCAATTTTATTTAATTCAATTTTATGTTGGTGATTAGGAGAAATTTTAGGGCTTATGATAATTGAGTCAGCGTAAGGGTTAAGGTATCGGTTATGATTAGATTTGATTTCATACGTGCTCGAAAATGAGCAAAGCAGCTCACAGTTAAATCATCACAAATTACTCATTGTGCCAATTTTGTAACACGATTATCACAAAGACAACGCCCCGCTTTAAAATAATAGCAATTTCTTATAATAAGAGAAATAATTCATAATTTTAAGGTCCTAATTCTTAGAATACTCTTGTTATTATAAGCTAATATATAAGCGTGAAGAAAACAAGGATTGCTAGCCACGAGACAGTACAGCAGCGATAAATTTTTATAGTGATCTAAAAGGGGGCATAAAAGTTCACAAGGGTAATCCCGGGCTACGTGCGCATGGATACTAAACTAAGACTCGGGAAACCGCAGAAAAATTGCAACAGCTTTAAAATTTGTAGCACATCACTGAGTACACTGTTCCATTCACGTAAATTTATTCGCATTCAAACGAAAATGTGGTGGCATTGCTGACTGCGTTCACGGGAAAGAACCTGCGAGAGCGCTCCAACGGAACGCCCGCCAGTCGTTTCTTAGCAGCAAACTGCTCAAATCACAGTGTTCTGCTTGCCTAGATATACCTGATGGAATGTGCCGCCATCTCGTGGCCGTCGTAGTAAAGACTCTTCACGGCGACGTAGTCGGTGTACTCGTGCGACACGAAGAAGGTGGCGGATATCGCGCAGCCGTTCGGGTTTTTCCGGCCCCGCCGAAGGATGCGATTATAAACGATGTCATAGTCTTGCTGACGAATGCCACCCTCAAACGTCAGCGTCACAATCTGAGGGATCTGCAGCAATTCGTCATTAGTTCAAAAGCCGATCTGGCGAATGTTTTACGCTCAATCTGTTTTGGTCAGGCGAATAGAATATGAATAGAATGGCCCAATCCTCGTTTAGCACCAGGATTAGTTTAGCACATATACGAACTAAGCCTATAAATACCGGGATCCCAAACTAGGATTTAGCAAATAGAATTGTGTAGGTACGATACCTACGAAAAGGTATGCACTCTAATACAATTTCCACGATTGTGAATACGTTATTTAACCTCGACTTGGTTAACTGGTATTTAATCTCGATTTTATACTAAAAACAAAAATGCTCGAAACACATTATTCGAATAGTATTTTTCTATTATATATGCTATATTTATATGCACACAAAATGTCATTCAGTGCTCTTTGCAAGAGTTGTAAATTGACGGGCATTTATAGTAATTACGTTGACAGTTTTTCAATGGTATTAGCACGTACCATGCTAGTTGGCATGTTGTTAGGTGTTGCTGTTCCCATGCATGCGCAGTCAGGTAGAACGCAGGTGTAGTTATTGCATACATTGCCTAAAAACAAGGTGATAGAAAACCACATCAATATATAGCATCCGATTTAACAGCGAATAGTCTTATTTGCTACTGAAATGCGTTGCAATTGGCGCTGTGTAGCATAATTCGTTGCGTGCGCGGCATTATAAATTCCATAGATCACATCACTTTCTAACCGGTCTTACCAAAGAGTAGCTCGATCGTAATATTACTCGGTCAATGCCATTAGAATAATAAACACGGTAGCACACATGCGACCTCTATGCACACGATCAAAGCATGTAATTTATAAATACGAAAATATGCAAACGATTACATTTTACCTTTCACAATCACTACGCGCACTGTTCGATAACAAGATGAGACAAAGACCGTGATGTGACAAGACAAAGCCCGTGATGTGACAAGACAAAAGACCGTGATGTGACAAGACAAAGACCATGATGTGACAAGACAAAGACCGTGATGTGACAAGACAAAGCCCGTGATGTGACAAGACAAAGATGTGATGATAACCGTGACGATAAAGGTAACTTACGACAATTAATCTCGTCCGTCAAATCCCGACAGTCGGGAATACCGTTGCACCATTGCGCCTCGATGAGACACTCGCCAGACAAACATTGGTATGGACACGGAATCGCTGTTGTTGTCAATGTGTCTACTTCCGGTGGTGCAGTTATAGATGCTGTCCAAAAATTCAAGATTATATATATATATAGATATATAGATATATATGCGTGTACGTGTGCGTTTGCGTGTACGCGCGCGTGTGGCGTGTGTGCGTATATATATATATATATATATATATATATATATATATATATATAGTATTGTGTTGTGTGTGTGTGTGTGTGTG